CCCGCCATCCACTGGGAAATCAGGACTTCAGACTGTCTCAACCAGCTAATGTCTGAGCCTCTTAAGTGGATGGGATTTCTGTAAGGTGATTTCCAAGGAGGGAAGAGTGGAAACCACAGCTAAGCCGTACAGAGCACAGTGATACGTGAGGTCCCAGGGCCACCACGGCTCTGTTGGAAGACGTCCATGGGTGTCCGTGGAGCTTGGGGTGCCCATACCTGGGGAGGTACTTGAATTTAGGCGCTGTGGGCATGGAGCAAGGAGAGCATCATGTTGCTGGCCAGGAGCGACCTGGAGGCTGGACATCAGCGTTTTCATTTGGGAAGGAGCCGGCTCTGCCCTCGCCCACAGCTCCTCCGTCCAAGGGCAGGTCAGGGCTGTGGTTCTGCTCCTTAATCTGGGCATTACTGGATCATCCAAATTTGACCAGATCAAGAGCGGCCACATAACTGCATTTCTGACAAATTAGCTCCAGCGCTCGGGGCTTATGTAAGCGCGTGTGTTTAAGCCTGGCCTTGCGCCAGCTGCAGAGAGACTCACGTAAAGTGAGAGTGGTACAACCAGACGAAGTCTCCGGCCGGGCAGCACAACGCCAGCAGGACCAGATCGGACCAGGTTTATACCAGGTCAGCACTTTGCTTTATGCGGCTGCAGCTTTTCTGAGCCCTAAAGATGGATTTACAGCATTGGAAAACCCCAGCCACGGGGACATTCTTCCTCGCTTTAACCTCCAACCTCTGTTTTAACCTTCAGACTACTTCCCACCCTGCATCTACCAGCCCCAGAGCTGAAAGCTCTGGGTGAAAGGGGACACATACGAGCTGGTGCTCAGCATCCTTCTGTCATGTTCTTTTTTCTTTTTCTTTCACTCTCTTTTTTTTTTTTCATTGCATGAGGGCTAAAATTAGCTCAGCAGGAGGTGAAGACTGGAACATTTTAGCTAAAGCTGCTGTAGTATTGAAAAAACACAGTTTTGCTGATTATTTCCCAGCTTTCTTGCTGCGAACAGCATCGCATGGTCTTTTATTTTGGCAGATGAATGCCAGTAAAGATCCAACAAAACAAAGTGCTCCATGAGGTGTTTCAGCTCATTCTCCAGACGATCATTGTAACATTTGACCTGCAAAGCCATGTCCAGCTGAAGGTCCAGCCAGCTCAACATGTCTCCAGCCATGGCTGGGGGTTGTCATGTAGGACAAGGTCTAAAATGGGATGTGGAGGATACCCCAGGCCCAGAAGACCCTTGCTGCACCTTGCAAGTGATAAAACAGCCCACCAGCACTGCGCCCGTTGTGGGGACACCTCCACAGCCAGCGTTGGGGCTTTGCTGGATCATTCCTCTTTGCATTATCATAGAACCATAGAACAGTTCGGTTTGGAAGGGACCTGTCAAGGTCTTCCAGCCCAACTCAGTGAGCAGGGACATCTGCAACCAGAGCAGGGTGCTCAGAGCCCCGTCCAGCCTGACCTGGGATGTTTCCAGGGATGGGGCATCCACCACCTCCCTGGGCAACCTGGGCCAGGGGTTCACCACCCTCACTGTGAAAAATTCCTTCCTTACATCTGGTCTGAATCTGCCCTCTTTTAGTTTAAAGCCATCACCCCTTGTCCTATGGCAACAGGCCCTGCTAAAAAGTCTGTCCCCACCTTTCTCCTCAGCCCCTCTCAGCCCTGGCAGCTGCAGGAAGGTCTCCCCGGAGCCTTCTCTGCTCCAGGCTGAGCCCCCCCAGCTCTCCCAGCCTGTCCTCCCAGCAGAGGGGTTCCAGCCCGCGGAGCGTTGCTGGTGACCTTATGTGTTTTGGAAAGCTGCTGCGCAGAGTGTTCATTTAGGGGTACAGTATTTCCACTCTCTGCTTTCAGCTCTCAGCAGGACCTATAGTTCGTACCCTCTGTATCTCGTGAGTGGAAATCCTGAGAAATGGCAAGATTAAAGGACTTGGTCACATCTCATGGACCTACGAGCGGGGACAAGAACCTAGATCTCAATTCAAGGGACAACATCATCTATGCTACAATTTGGCTTCAGGGCTTTAACCACCAGGATATGGCACGTACTTCATGGAACAAGGTGAAAACATCTGCAAAACGCCTCTTAAACTGAGTCCTCTGGTGTGCCCACCTGGCTTGTTGCTACTTTGGTATCATACATCAGGGACAAAACCATCACCTCATCTCTTCTGGGTAAAGCCCCATGCCTAGTTGCCAGCACAACAGCTTGGAGGTGGGAGAAGTACAAGTGAGCCCAGTATTCCCTATCTTTTGGTTACTCCAGAGTAAAAGCCAACTTCTCAGCCAGCTGACCATAACCCTAGTGTGGCCATCAACCCAGTGGCTCCTAGACTTGGAGGGATCTTTCTAACCCCAGGTCCCTACTGGCTGCACAGCCCTGCTCCCACAGATGAATGCTACAAAAGCTCAGAGGAGTTGACAGTTGGTTTTACAATCAAGTTGTCTGCTTTATCCTTGTCTGTAGAGCCTTCAATGGTGTGTTGCCTGGGTAGGTGTCGAGGACACAGAATCATTAAGGTTAGAAAAGACTTTTAAGATCATCAAGTCCAAACATCAACCCAACACCACCATGCCCACTAAACCGTGTCCCGAAAAACCATGCCTCCCAGGTGGGAGTGCTCTTCCCTGAGTTTCTGATGCATGCCATCAATGCTACCTTGGCTGCTGGACCAGTGTGATTATTGGATATTTCAAGTCTGCTGGCGCAAATTGGAAAGGAAATGAACCAAACTGTGGCATAGATGACATTGTCCCAACATCTGCCTTTCCTGGTGTCTCTTACTGCCTATCAAGCAAGACAAGGTGGGTGCATCCATCATGCCCTCAGCCTTCAATGCTGACTCCCACCTGAAGGACAAGAGGTGCGAGCCTGGAAATTGAAACTCCTGTGCAAACTTTGCACATGATCAAAAGCCATTTTGAAGCTGGTTCGTAGGCTCAGTGACATGGATCCAACTGAAGGCACAGTCCATTCAGAGCAAACCAAATCCATAGATCCCTCTGGGTTGGGCCCATCTCCGTTGAACAGAAAGGCACAGCGCTGAGCGAACCTGGTGCAGATGCTCACAAAGCCTGATCTGCTATGGCCATCAACCACACGAAGGACAGCAGAGGCTGGAAGTCACGTTCCTGGAGTCCAGGCACTTTGGCAGGGAGGGAGCTTACAACCCCATCTGGACCTTCTATTTCTCCAAATCCTTCACTCTGCAGGACTCTGGTGGTTTCCACTCGAGGTCCCTTTCCACAAAAGGCAGGAAGCAGCTGTAGGGACCTTCTCCCTAGCAGAGATGTGCAAGTGGGATGTGACACAGTGGAGCAGTGAACGCCTGAGGGCAGGGTGAGCAGGGTGAAAAAAACCATAACCTTTATTTCCACAGGCATGGGAGGTGACGGGGGCAGGAAATAGTTGAGGAAAACACATTGAGAAATGGCTTTTCCCCACTTCTCCTCAAATTTTCCTCCTCAACCTGGTGGCATGGGCCACCCATGTCCCAACATAGAGCAGAAGCTTGGCCTCCCCGGCGTTTCAGGGAACTGGGACAGTGCTGAAGGGGAGCCGTGTCCCTAACATGGGGGTTCTTTCAATTTGAAAACACAAGAAACAAGAATAACAAAGATAAACCCAGCGGATCGTGGGCAGCGAGCCAGGCACCCCCGTACAACCTGCCCAGACCCGGCCAGCCCCTCCGG